AGAGGGAAAGAGGGAGAAAACAACCCCTCCCACCCCCCACCACCCTGGCCCCGCAGCTCGCCGCGCCGGCCGTCGTTGCCTTTGCCGGCGCACTGCCGTACGCCGAGCTCTCCGAGCCGACGGGCTGTCCCTCCTACTCGGAGCACCCGCTCGCCACGTACGTCGGCCGCGGCATCCCCACCGCGCTCCTCCTGCCGGCCGGCCGCTACTTGCTGCGCGGCCGCGGAGGCGAGACGTGGAGCCGCAAGCTCGCGCCTCCCGCGGCGTGCGACGCGGTGTGGCGCGCCGCCAGGCCATTCGCGCTCACCTGCGGCGGGCAGCTCTCCTCTGGCGACGTCGCGGCGCTCACCCGCGGCTACAACGAGTTGATGGCGCACGATGACGCGGCGCGAGACTTCCGCAGCCGGCCGCGCGTGCCGGAGTGGGTCAGCGGCGGCGCGGGCCGCACCACGCCGCCTCCGCTGGTCGACATGGACGGCGACGGCCGCGCCGACCTCGTGCTCCGCTTCTCGCTGCCCGAGGGCGCGTCGCTCTTCCAGATCGACTCGTGCGGCTCCGAGCAGGACATGCGCCTCCGCCTCTACCGCGGCTGCCCGTGGGGCGCAGGCCAGCCGGCGGGCGAGCCCCTGTCGCCCCTGCTCGCCGACGGCGACTCGGCCACCCTCAAGGCATGCCGCGACCCGCTGGCCGCTGCGGCGGGTGCGGGCGGCGGCGGCGGCGGCGGGCGGCGCCTCGCCGGGCTGGACGGGTTCCTCTCTTCGGCCGCGCTGAACGGGAGCGAGCCGCTCGCGCCGGGCGACTATTGGCTGGTGCTCGACAGCGACGCCGAGGAGGCGGGCTTCGACGGCCAGTGGCAGCTGCGCGCGCAGTGCGCCTCGTCGGACGGCGAGCCGCTCACTTCGCCGACGCCCGCCGGCGCGCTCTCCGCGCGCGGCCTGCCGGTAGCCTCTCCGTGCGACTTGCCCGAGGGCGGCGGCTGCACGGCGTGCACCGGCCTCGACCGGTGCGGCTGGTGCGCCGACGCCGACGGGTACGGCGGGGCTTGCGTGGTTGGCGTCGTCGATGGGCCGCTCCTCGCCGCGTGCGGCGGGGATCGCGTGTGGCAGCCCTTTGAGGATAGCTGCGGCGTGCCGCCCAGCCCGAGCCCGTGGCCCGAGGATCAGGAAGTGTCGCCTTGGGCGTGGCGGAGCGCTAGCGAACCCGCGCCAGTCGCCGCCAACGGCTCCGCCGGCGCCGCCCCGTGGGCCGCCGGCCTCGCTGCCTTCGCCGCGCTCGCGCTTGCGCGGCGCCAAAGGCGCCGCGGCACCGCGCGCCCGATGGTCTGAGTGCTGAGAGGGTCTGGCTCGTTCCGCGCTGCACTGGCGAGATGAGCCCCGCTTCGGTCTTGACCGGGCGGTTTTGTCAAGGTATGGGTGTGTCGGCGTTTGCTGTTTTGCGCGCGCTTTTGCGGGGAGCGGCAACGGTGTGGATGATACTGTGTGTGGCTGGGTCCTTGGAGCCCTCCTGATAATGTGTGTATTAGAATTCTTTTGGCCCCTAAAAGAAAGAAAACCGAATTTGATTCCTAAAAGAAAGAAAACTGGATGTTAGAATTCTTTTTCCGGCGGGGAAATTCTTTTTCTTGTGTGCCTGTGATAGTACTAGCACGCGCCAGTTCGCACCTCTGCGAACGCGGCAAATTCTTTTTCTTCGGGCTCATTTGTCATTCACTCGCTTGATGCGCACGATGGCATTTCTGCTCGCCGCCTCCGCCACTGCGCTCGTGCTTTCGAAGCCTCCGCCAGGCGCTGCGATCGTGCTTGGAGCTGCGCCACTTCGTGTGCCGGCCGGGCGCCCGGTGCAGATGGGGCTGCTCGGCCGCGTCAAGAAGATCTTCGCCCGGCCCGAAGCTGGTTCAACCACGGCCGTGGATGTGACACCGGCCGCGTCTTCAGTCGCGGATGAGATTGCGAAACTCACATCCGTCACCAAGGCTGGCGCCACACAGTACCCGACCGCGGCTGACATTGAGGAGTACTGCCGCGACCCCGAGTCATCTGGCTGCGACATTGAGATGTGCTCTCCTTACGCCAGCCCGCGCCCTCTGCTGTGACATTGAGATGTGCACCCCTTACGCCAGCCCGCGCTCTCTGCTGTGACACTGAGATTGCCACTCCTTGCGCCAGCCCGCGCCCGTCTGTGTGCTGCGTGCCCACGCCGCGCCTTGCGCCTCAGGATCGAGAAGCTTATGGCCGAGGCCGCCAAGCTCAAGGAGGCCCAGGCCAAGGAGACGGCGGGCTACAACCAGATCCAGCTCAACTTCATGAAGCCCAAGCCGCTTCGGTGGAGCCCCGACGAGCAGGCGGTGCCGTCGGCGGAGTGACCCCACACACGGTGGCAGGGGCACGTCAGAGTGCCCCGCTGCATCTGCGTGACAGGGGCCACGCCCGGTGCCCCGTCGCGCCCTCCGCGGCGCAGCGGCAGGGCAGGTCTCGCCCCCCCCGGGCGTGTGGCGATAGCCGCAATGGCCGGCGGCTGTGCTCCGGCCTCTGGCTCTGCCGCTGTACGCGCGACTGTATTTTTGTGGAGAGACCAGAGGTGGTGCGCATGAATTTGGAAGAAAGCAACATTTCGTTACAACCCGCACGTGCCTCCTTTGTTTTGTTTATAAAATGAACTCGGGGACACAGGACGCGGCACAAACGGGGCACAAACGCCAGGCTACAAAAATGTTGTTGCGACAGCGGATCTGAGTTGCCGGGAACGGCAACTGGGGTCCGTTCTGACTAGTACATGTAACACGTTCTGGCCCTCGCCATTCTGATCATTCCTGGAACACCCTCGGACCGACCCAGGTGGCCGGCCGAGTAAAACCCGGGTATACCCGAGAATTCTCAGGTATACCCGAAAAATACCCGGAGCGCGCGCGTCGCTATGGCGCCCTATCCCACAGGCACGTGCGCCAACTGCACCAACCACGGTGTGCTCAAGTATGCGCGCCGCACCATGTGTACCCGCTATATCGAGCGTGACCGCGTCAACTTCGTCGCCAAGTTCGACGTTGACAACGGCGCGGCGACGGACCTCTCACTCGAGTCGTCGATGTACGACGGCTCGCCGTCGGCAGAGTACGAGTTGTGGCTGCTGCTCGAGCCTGTTCTGGCGCCGACGGAGGCGGCGGCCCTGCCAGCGGCGGCCGGCGGCGCGATCGTCGCCGCGTGAAGCGGTCGGACTGGCTGGGGCCGGGCGGTGGGCGGTGGGCTGCCCGGGGGGATGGGCTGTGGCACGGTCCGAGTCGTAGGGCCGGTGCCGCCTGGATGGATGCCGTTCTGATCATTCCTGCGACCTTTGTAGTCTTCCGTCCGAGGTCGGGCTGAGGGAGGACTGATGAGCCGCGTCACTGTCCCTGTGCCTATCTGCTGCTAGTACCGAGAGAGAGGCTCTGGGAGGCGGGCCCAGCGGCCGGTGTTCTGAACGTTCTGAGAACGCATTCCCAGCCTTGCCATTCTGATCATTCCCCTTACCTCGGCAACTCAGCGAGCGGATGACAGGGTGAGGGAAGTGGGTCGACGCACCCCCGGAAGACTGGGCGGAGCAGAGAGGTCCCAGGAGCAGAAAGAAAGAAAGAAAGAAAACAGACAACCCAAGGGAGGGATGGGAGGACGGCACGCCGCCACCACACAGGGATTTTAAGGTGTTGGTAGCGAAGTGTTTCTTTTCTGCTCGTAGCCAGACGATGGGTGCCACTAGCGAGGACGAGGGCTCCACGGGCGACGCCCTCGACATCGTTCTCTACCTCTTCGTCCTCGGTCCCGCCGTGGAGTGGTGCCTCAAGTCGCCCCGCGTCAACAGAGGCCGTCCCGGGTCGTGGCGCGGCGTCTCGCTCGCGGTGCTGCTGCTCGCGCTCGTGGCGGCGGGCAAGATGGCGTGGGAGTCTGGCACGCGGGAGCCGAACCACTTCGAGACGCTCGGGGTGCGCGTGGACGCGGGGACCGCCGAGATCAAGCGGGCGTACAAGACCGAGAGCCTCAAATACCATCCCGACAAGACAGACGACCCGGCAGCGCCGGCCATCTTCATGCGGATGCAGCGCGCGTACGAGACGCTCAAGGACCCGAGCTCGCGCGACGCGTACAACCGGTTCGGCGGCAAGAGCGGCGACGACGAGAGCGGCGGGATGACGGGTGCGGCGATGTTTTACGCCATCTGGCTCGTGCTCGGCTACTTGCTCACGATGGGGCGCGCCTCGGAGGACGCGCGGACGTGGGCCTTCTCTGGCCTGCTCGCCCTGGCCGTGGTGGAGTACCAGACGCGGGTCCTAAAATACGACTACCTCGCCATGGCGCGCACTCCCCGCTACTCCCGCCACTCCGCCGACACTCCGCCGACACTGCGCCGACACGCATGCGAGCGGCGCCCACTATGTTTGTGCGGCGTTGTGGTGCGGGCGCCGGGCACAGCTCGGGGGGGGGGCGGGCCTTGCGGGCGTGCACGGGCGGGCCGAGGCTCGCGGGCGCGTCCTCACGCTCTCCGCCCGGCCCGCAGGTGCTCCCGCACACGACCGTGCACGAGAAGCTCGAGCTGCTGCACCGGCTCTTCCCGCCCTTTCTGCACGGCTCGAGGATGATCTCGCAGGTCGTGTTTCGCGACATCGGTGCCTGTCTCCGCCGCGGGTGGGCGCCGCCCCCGCGCGGGGCCGAGGGCTGAGCCGGGGCTCGCGCCGCCTGTTAGGCGTCTACAACAAGATGCTTGTGGAGCAGATGCACGTGAAGGCGCCGCGGGGGGAGGGGCGGGGGGGAAGTTGCGTGGCGCTTGGGCGTGGGAGGAGCGGGACGCCCAACGGCACAGAAAGGGGGGAGCGAGGCGGAGGAGACGGCGCGCACGGCGCGAGAGGGCTCTCTGGCGAGGGGGGTCCGAGAGGCGGCGGAAGTGAAGCGGGGAGGCCGCGCGCTGCCGACGGCGATCGCTCCGACTCTCCTCTGGTCCTTTGGCGGTGGCTCACTCGCCCCGCCACCTCCCCACACCAGGTGGACGAGCTCGGGAAGCTCGCCTACGCGACCCAGCGCGAGATTGCCAAGCAGGGGATCGCGCGGCCGTCGGGTGTTGCCGCGCCGCTGGCCGCCGCTGCAGACGGCTTCGCCAAGCTGGGGGGGGAGAAGGCTGCCGACGCGGCGGTCGGCGCCGCGGCGCCCAGTGTTGCGCGAGCGTCCTCGGGCGCGGCGGTCGCCGGGGCGGGGGCCGAGAGCGCGGCGGACCAGGAGGCGGCGGCCAAGCAGGCGGCGGCGAGGGAGGCGGCGGCGGCGAGCCAGCAAAACAACCGGATGACGAACCTCATCCTCTTCTTCCTGGTGTACGCGGGGTTCAAATACGTAATGGACAAGGACTAGGGACGTGCCCCCGCGGAGAACGTCGTACGTTGGCCCGGCGGCGGCCGAGGAGGAGCGCTGTGAGTTGGTTGAGAGGCAAAGCTTGAGAGACGAGCGAGGCCAGCGAGGCGGGAACGAGCGCCGGTGCGGGGAGCGCGGCGCCGGCACTGGTGCGCATGCCGCATGGATACTTCCAGTTGTGAGAGAGTGCAGAGAGTATAATAGAAGCAAGTTCGAAGGTCCGACCCGCAAGGTCGCCCCCGGTCTCACTGACTCGCTCTACGGCTCTAGACACTACGCGTGGCTGGGTTCACAGCGATTGTATAGGAAAATGACGGGAAAGCGACACAGTCCATGTGGGACGCGTCGAGTATCGACCTCTACTGCTTACCCAACCTTCGAGTGTATCCTGGCTGTGGTCCCACACCCACTGGTGTCCATCTCAGAGACCGCAGGAGGTCATGAGGGTCGATGGGAGTGCCAACCCCACAATGCCTAAAAACCCAGCCCAGTAGAGGCGCGCTAGACCTACCGTAGACCCTAGGTCGTAGGTGCTTGCACTCTTTGAATGCCGTGGGGCTCCTGCCCGTGTCCGGGCGTGGAGATGCGAGGGTCGCCCCCCCTTGCCCCACCACTTTGTGTGTGTGGAGACGTTTACCTTACCTTACCTTACCTTAGAGCCGAAAGCCTGTGCCGGGCGTATACAGTAAAAAAAACTGGTAACTCGTGCACAGCGCGCGTCCCCATCCGCATGTGGGCCATGGGGGGCGAGTCTCGCTCGTGAGACGTGACTCGTCGCGCGTCGCGTCTGACGAGTGACGACCTCTCCGTCGAGGCACCGACGAGGGCTCACAGCTCTCCGCGACTTTTTTGCCTTCTCGCTCTCTCGCCGACGGAGAGAGATAGAGACAGAGAGCCCGCCCCGTCGGCCCGTGACCGCCGTGAGCAGGCGCGTGATTGGCCCAGGCCCCAATTTCATCGAATTTATTTCAAAATCTGCAGCCGCGGAGCGCGCGCGCTCCTTCTCTGGTAGGACGGGAACGAGATGATAGTAGAGAGTAGAAGAAAGCAAAGAGGAGCCCTGCGCACGCACGACTCCGCAGGAGAAGCCCCTCCCCAGACAAAACACAAGGGAGAGGTGGGTGGGTCACAGAAAACTGCGGCCGCCAGCGACTGAGCGTCTCGCTGGCGGACGGGGAGAGGAACACAAAGGAACGTCTGGACGTCCATCCAATGGGATGAGAGTACTGGAGACCTGAGGTCGAATCTGCCGATTCCACAGCCGCCCACAGGAGCGCCGCCTCAACACGGGGTCTCGGCTCTATCGAGCCATGCTAGCTCCAGCCGCAGCCCCACCCGGCCGCCCGAGGGTGTTCCCGCAGGCAGAGAAGACCAATCCTGGGGGAAGTAACCTTCTCTGGTAGGACGGGAACGAGATGATAGTAGGGAGTAGAAGAAAGCAAAGAGGAGCCCTGCGCACGCACGTGGACGACTCCGCAGGAGAAGCCCCTCCCGCCCGTGCTTGCGCAGCGCAGCCTCCTCCTCCCTACTCGCAAGCCGGGTAGCCCGCGGGTGATTATGATGGGTTCCACCCTGCGGTGATTATGAGCGGTGATTATGATGGGTTCCACCCTGCGGTGATTATGATGGGTTCCACCCTGCGGTGATTATGATGGGTTCCACCCTGCGGTGATTATGATGGGTTCCACCCTGCGGTGATTATGATGGGTTCCACCCCCTGCAGCGCGCCTTATGCGGTAAGTTGTCGCGAAGGCAGCGGCCGCAGTTGGTTGAGCGGGACGCGCGCGTCCTCGTATGGTCGGCCATCGCGCGTCGTGGCAATCGTGAACCGTACGATTGCGGTGTGCTTGGAGCATCGCAACACGGTCGCTGCCCAGCCGGCTCCACCGAACTCCTTGCATGCGTACTGCGGCCAGAGGGCGCTTGCGACGAGGGCCGGTCGCCCCGTGGCGTTTTCGGCGGTGATCGGTCGGGCGTCGATGGACGCGCTTGGCGCTGCTTCGCGAGAGGAACACAAGGGGACGTCCGGACGTCCATCCACTGGGATGAGAGTACTGGAGACCTGAGGTCGAATCTGCGGCGGGGTGGCGGTCAAGCACGCGACGGGGTGGATCTGGTGCGTCTAGTATCACTGGTGGGCTGGGTGTGCAGCAGCAGCACTCAAAAAGAGGCAAAAAAAGCGGCTGCTGTTTTGAGTGTCAGCTCTCTCGACGCACCGTCCTCGGGCCCCTCGAAAAGCTGGCTGGTGGTCGCGCGGGGCGCGTCGCGGCGCGACTCCGACTGATCGGGCACCTCGGCTGGGTCCATCCAGGCGCCGACAGCCCTCCACTGTGCGTGCGGCCGTATGCGGGTTGCTTGCTGTGCTGCTGACTCTGGGGAAGCTCGGAGCGGCAGCAACAGCGCTCACCGCCGGTCAGCCCGCCGCAATCGTAGCGGCTGCGCCCGCTCGATGGCGGATTGTCGCGCCGACCTCGCCGCGAGGCGAGGTAACGGGTCCAGGCCCGAACGGGCTCCCCGCCGAATTCTTTAAGCGATTTGAAGCCCTGCTCGCCAAGCCGCTTCACCGAGTTTTTCTCGAAGTGGCTGAGCGAGGCTGGCAGGAAGAGTCCACCCGAAGAGGGGGGCTAGGGGGCCAAATCCACGGCCACAACCCCCTAGAGGCAATGGAGCTGAGAGAAGGCGCTCGACTGCAAGGGTAGCAGAGCGCCACTCCTACGCCCACGCCCCCTCAAAGACGGCAGAAACAGTCACACGCAATTAGTACATGGCCCAGCTCGCGCCATCGCCCACACTCGAGCTTTGCAGCGCGCGGGCTCACACTCTACTATAGGCCCCCTCGACGCCCACTTCGAGCTATACTCAGCTAAGGGCCGCACTTGACGCTGTCAGCAGCGCGCGGCGAAGCAGTTTGGCGCTTGTGGTGAATCAAATGGGAATCTAGCCCAAGGTCGGAGAGTCGTGTCATAGGAGAGGAGAGAGTGTGGAGATGTTTTGTGCGGGATCAGGCCCGAGTCCCTAGTGTCGCCGGAGCAGTAGCTACCTTTTTCGTAACAGGAACAGTTTTTGTTTTCGGCTGGGTCCATCGGCACGAGGCCTGCGCCGTCGGGCAGCCCCGCGAGCGCATATGGGCGGCCGGCGCGAGCGGCCCAGATCGGCGCTGGGTTGGTACTGACGTATGAAAAGACGTGGCGCCCCAGAGGCGAGAGGGGGGGTCCGAATAAGATACATCATAGAACGAGGGCCCGCTGCTTTGACAAAACTGATAAGGAGAAACAAGGCAAAAAAAGAGCTCCACGCCCTCCATCCCCCCCCCCCCCCCCCGCCGCAAGCCGATGTAGCCGAGAGGCAGAGGCTTGCAGCTCGCACTCACGGTTCACCCTCTCACTGCCCCGGCGCCCACACCTCGATCTTCTTGGGCAGCAGCTGGTTCGACACGTCCTCTCCGTGGCCTAGGTGGGCGTGGTCGCCCTTGCCCCAGGTAAAGACGGCGCCGTCGGCGGTGAGGGCGAGGCTGTGGTTGGCTCCAGTCGACACAGCGACGACGCGCTGGCCGGCCAACGCCTCGATCTTCTTGGGCAGCGGCTGTTCCTCCTCGTCGCCGTGGCCCAGCTTGCCTCCCGCTCCATTGCCCCAGCTCCAGACACTGCCGTCGGCGGTGAGGGCGAGGCTATGACGTCCAGCCGACACAGCGATGACGCGCTGGCCAGCAAAGGCCCCGACCTTCTTGGGCTGCCTCCCGTGGCCCAACCGCCCATCGCGTCCACCGCCCCAGCTCCAGAAGCTGCCGTCGGCGGTGATGGCGAGACTGTGACTCCCTCCAGCCGACACAGCGACGACGCGCTGGCCAGCAAAGGCCTCGACCGCCTTCGGCAGCAGCTGGTTCGACACGTCGCCGTGGCCCAACTGGCCATTGTATCCATAGCCCCAGCTCCAGGCGGAGCCGTCGGCGGTGATGGCGAGACTGTGGCCGCCTCCAGCCGACACAGCGACGACGCGCTGGCCAGCGAAGGCCTCGACCTTCTTGGGCAGCAGCTGGTGCTGCTCGTCGCCGTGGCCCAGCTGGCCGAAGAGACCGTAGCCCCAGCTCCAGACGGCGCCGTCGCTTGTAATGACGAGGCTGTACTGGCCTCCACCCGACACGGCGACGACGCGCCGCCCCGCCAAGGCCTCGACCTTCTTGGGCAGCAGCTGGTCCTGCTCGTCGCCGTGGCCCAACTGGCCGTCGTCTCCACGGCCCCAGCTCCAGACACTGCCGCCGGCGGTGAGGGCGAGGCTGTGGTTGGTTGTTGCAGACACGCTCATGGCGCGCTCTCCCGGCATCGAGGGGAGGCGGGTCGGCGTGTTGAGCCGCGTCGCGCCCTCGCCGTGCCCGAGCAGGGCTGGAGTCCACTCCGGCGCAGAGCCGCACGATGAGAGCCGCCCCTCGCCGTCGATGAAAACGCTGTGCCGTTCGCCTCCCGACGCCCTCGCCGGCGGGTTGGACTCGCACAGCAGCGCCGAGTAGCACAGCCACCGCACGGCGCAACTCTCGCCCTCTGGCTGCGCCGGCAGCTCGAAGCCGCGCTCTCGCGCCCACAAGCGGATGCACTCCAGCGCGAGTGAGGCGTGAAAGAGGACCGAGACGGCCGCGACGCGAGCGATGTCGGCGGGGTCGCAGCGAGAGACGACGCGCACGAGGAGGTCCGTGGGGAGGTCGAGGAGGCGGGTGGGCGGCGGCGTGTCTGGTGAGGGAGCTGGGGCGGCCGCGGGCAAGGACATGTACATGTGTGTGGCGCAAGCGAGCGATACACTGGGGTGCGAGTTAATGCGCGGTTGGGGGGGTCTGAAAAGGGGAGTTCCCTCCTGAGAGAGAGAGAGAGAGAGAGAAAAAAAAACCCGCCAATGGCAGTTATCCGTTAGTGCGGACGTCGCCGCGGCTCGCCTCTGCCGCGGCGGCTGCTGCGCGCACGCGGCGGCGCCGCTCTCTCGCGAGACGGCTGGTGACGCGGCTCGCGGCCGACGTACGCTGCGCTCGTCGGACCGCCCGCGGCGTGGCGTGCGCGGCGCTGCGCGCCGCTCTGCGAGCGCTTGTGCGCTGCTGTCACACTGCACTGTCTCTCTGGTGCTGCTGGTGGTGGTGATGTTGCTGATGCTGGTGCATATGCTGCTGCTGGCGCGGCGCGGCTCTGCGACTCGGCTCGAGACGCGCGTCGGGAGCAGCTGACACGGCGGCGTCGGGCAGGTTGCGCCTCTCTCTGGTGCTGGTGGTGCTGGTGGTGCTGGTGGTGCTGGTGCTGATGCTGCTGCTGATGCGGCGCGGCTCTCCGACTGGACTCGAGGCGCGTGTAGCGGCAATCTGACGCGGCGGGCGGCGTCGCGGGCGGCAGCGGTGGCGGCGTCGATGGTGGAGGTGGAGGCTGGTGGCTGTGGTGGACTTTGAGTTTATTTCATGATGGACTACGACATCTGGGGGGTCAACCGGGAGGCAGGGGGTTCGACCTGGCGACGGAGGACCGTGGGCCATCGCGGGGACTGCTGCGTACGGAGGACGCGGCAGGCAGATCCGGATGGTCTCACCCGGTGGGAGGCACCGAGGCGTCTGGGACGCTCCACTCTACCTTAAGCTCCTGAGGGGCGCGTGGTTTTAACCACGTAGTACGACTACAGCCCACCACAGACACCCTCCCTCTCCACACGTGTGCACACACCCTCACCCTCTCCCCTCTCCTCTCTCTCTCTCTCCTCTCTCTCCTCTCCTTGTCTGTGCTGTCTGCCTGACTCAGGCACTAATTCTGCCGATGCGTGATTGTGTGTGGGCTGCTCCGAGGGGGCCCTGTGCGATCCGATGGGTAGGGGGTCTGTGCCCGGGCGGTGTCCGGTGCGGAGTCTCTCTCTGATCCCACCTGTGGTGTTGGGTGTGAGGTCGTGGAAGCTTCGATCCCAAGGGGGGGAGCCGAGCCCACTCATAACCAACTCTCAGGGGCAGTAGGTGGGCGAGCCTCGAGCGCGCTCATCTCGATCGTCAAGGCGTCGCTACGCGCGGTCTTCCGCGGGGGGAGCTTCGTCGACGGGTGCGGGAGCGCGGCGCAGCCAGTGCCGTGGCGATGCCTCCGGCTGTTTGTGGCGGGCGGCTTGCTGCTCGCTGCATGGCGAAAAACTCGTCTCGCCACACGCCAAGGGCTTATGCTCTGGCGAGACGTGAGGCGCATGCGCCCAGGATGGGAGGGGGCATGCGTAACGACACTGCTAGAGATGCCTTTTGGGGCCCAGAGATAAAACTTCTGTGATGCCATGCGTGACCTAGTAGTGTCCCCAGCTATGGGCGTGTCCACGTTGGAGCCAGGTGTGGTGTGGGCGCGAGAATAGCTCCGCCGTTCATGGAGGCAACCGATGCGAGTCGACTGGTGTGTGTCGTCGTGGTTTCGTATCAAGAATTCTCTCTCTTCTCTCTTCCCTCCTCTCTCCCCACCCCGAGGACCTCTGCCCAAGCTGATGGTGCCCAGCCCAGAGGGCCCCAGGGGCTATAGAGTCACACCTAGGAGAGGGGGTAGCTCACACCTTGTGGGCCGCACTGAACCTTCTCCCACGTGCCCTTCGATCCGCCCACGGCTGCTCACGGGATGACCCCGCGCGGGCGGTGGGAGGAGCCATTTCGGAAGCGGAGGCAACTGAGGGCAAAGCCATGCCCTCTCACCGCTCGCGGTCGCAAGTCCACTTCACATGGCTGACCGCGTCACCCGACAAAGATCCCCGATGTGTCCTGCCGTGAAGAGTCCACTCCACCGCACCGGCTGCCCCTCATAGCCTGCCGACGCGTCGTCGGGAACTCGAGCGGAGTCGACGCTTACGACGCGCTCGCCGCCCAGCGTGGAGGGGAGACAGATCGGCCATGATGGTGGAGGACTACGACGAGAGAGAGCGGTTTGATCGCGTTTTGCATGAGCTCGACGAGACCAGGTGGAGTCGCTTCTCGCAGCATCTCACGCGCCGCTCCAGCAAAGACGCATTCGCCTGCGTGATGGATGAGCTCGAACGCGCATCAGCGGCCGATGCGTCCGCCTGGCCAAAGTATCGGGGATGCGGCTTCTCTTCGCACGCCGAGGCGAAGGCGAGCGCGCTGCCGCCGCCCCGATTTGGCTTCGATACCAAGGTTCGCATCAAAAAGAAATGGTTCAGCTCCGACTTCAATGTGGACAACTTGACCGTCGAGTTTGACGAGGATGGTGAGCCGAAGCCAGTTCGGTGGATGCTGATGGACGCGGTGGGAAAGAAGGGTGACACAACGCACGACTACTATCTCAAGTACCGAGCGATCGGCGACGACGCGAGCACGGTCCTTGGCTGCGCCAACCTCCAGCACCATCACGACTATATGTGGTTCAACGTCACCTACTCGCATCAGCACCGCGGCCACAGACCCCCAACTTTCGATCAGAGGCACCGTCGCTGGGAGGACCTCAAGGTGAATGCCGACTTTGTCGTCGCGCGCAGGGTGCGCTTCTACGAGGACCACGAGCAGCAAAGCCTGACGGGGCGGCTGGAAGTGGTTGGCCGTGGCCACTACACCCGGCATCTCCACACCGAGCGGTATCAACAGCGGCGCGAACGCCACACCGAGGAGAACGGGCACAAGCGCGTGGACGTGTACTGGACGCCAGAGTCTCGCACGCACGGCTTCACGCGCTGCAACCTCAAGGCCTTCGTCTACAAGCTGAGCATATACGGGACAGACTTCAACATAGCCTTTGACGAGAAGGCGTCGGGCAAGTGGTACAAGTCCAACAAGATGATCTTCAAGGCAAGCCACGCGAGCAGCGGCGCGCCTCTCTTCATGGCCACCAGCGATGGCGAGAAGAAGACCACAATCCAGACCTACAGCCACGGCGACCCAGTCAGCAGCATCCTCGCTGCTTTCTGTGTCAGTATCCGCCTCGACCCCAAGGAGCTGCACTCCACCTGCAAGTCGTATTGTAAGAAGCACATCTCCCTCCACGCGCCGACCGGCATCCGGGGCGGATTCGGGATGAACGACGTCGAATATGAGCAGCGCTTCATAGTGCCAGGGCGAGCCAGCGTTAGCGTCGCGCCGATGCCGCCTGTTGGTCACGCATACGGAGTGCCCGTGGCAGAGGCGCCGCCGCCGCCACCGCCGCTGGTGGTAGCCGAGCCGGTGGTGGCAGCCGAGCCGATGGTTGGCGGCATGGTGACGCCGTTCACGGTCATGCCGGGCGAGGCAGTCGCCTTCGAGCCGATCGTTGTGGACGCCATTGTGCTGCCTGCCATCACGGACGATGTCGCCGCCGCCCTTACAACCTATGAGGCCAAGGGCGACGGTCAGGGCAAGGCGGTTAGCGTCTCGGCCAGTGACGACGACGGTGATGGCGGCGACGATGACACGGACGGCGTCGGGGCGCGCGGATCGCAAGTTGTCGACAATGGCTCCTCTTCCGAAGACGAGAAGGCCTACTTCACTACGCGGGACTCTTGCTAGGGAGTCATAGAAGGGGGAGCAGTAGAGCGATCTCCGTCTCACCGGGTGGCGTCGTGAGAGCTGCGTACGCGAGTACTAGTATGAACTCTCTCACTATCTCTCTCTCGTGTCTCGACACTCGCGGTGGACGCCCCCCGGCGCTGGGCGCCCCGGCACGCGGCAGTGCCGCGCGCCAGCCCGCCAGCAAAGCCGTAAACACGGCCCTTTGCTACGGTGGAGCTGGAGGCGTGTGACTGTGAGGTGCGTGTGTGTGCTGTATCTGTCCGACACCGTCACCGACAGGCGACACAACACTCAAGTCTCAAAACACGCATGCGCGTAAAAATTTTCAACTGAGTTGTATCTTGTAAAAGCAAAATAGCCTCGGGTCGCTCGTGTCCAGGCCCGCCCGACTGTGCAAGCCGGGAGCTCTCGCTGAAGGCGAGAAAGCGAAAACCCATCACCCCGTTCTCGACGCGGCCTACGGTGAACGCCCTTGTCTCACTCAGGCCTGTCAACTGGGCCGATCGCGCGCGGCGGCCGCTCTCGCCCGCTTGTCCTTGCACACCCTCCACTTCTCGTTGGCCAAATCGAGGTCCTCCTCGTCGCCGTCGTCGTACTTGATGTGCACCCGCACGCCTGCACAGCGGCGGGAATCGAGTAGGCTACCTGGAGGGCGGTGAGTGGGCGCTGCTGGGGCCGGGCAACGGCCGCACCGTCCGACGCGACGCCGCTCAGCCGACCCGCGAACCAAGTCTTGTCGAGCGGCCACCAGACCTCGATTCGCTCGCCCTGCCAGTCAACAGCCGCCAGCGAAGGCGCCTCCCCGGCCGAAGCCTGCGCCGGGGGCGACGGCGCCGCCCGCTGGCGCGGCTGGCGAGCCGCGGCTGCCGGCGGCGCGCCGCTATCCACAGCCTGCCCCTGCGCTGCTTGGCCCTGCCCAGCTGCCTGCCACGCCTGGGCGAGGCGGTGGCCCGGCGTTGGCGGCAGCTGCGCCGGCGCCGGCACCGAGGCGTAGCCCTGCACCATCCCCGCCCCTTGCACCATCCCCGCCCCTTGCACCAGCCCGGGCTGTGCGAACGCCGTCTGCATCGGCTGCGCATACGCGACCGGCTGCGCCAGCCCGGGTTGCACTGGGGTGGCAGCAACGGGCATGCCCATGGGTTGCGCCGCCACCGGCTGTGCTGGCACGGCCTGCGCCGCCACCGGCTGTGCGTTCGGCGCCGCAAAAGGGTGCTGCGGCGCGAGGCCGCCACACACCGGCGCACCGAGAGGCGCGGCATAGACTGCGCCGCCGCACGCCCCTGCGCCGACGGGAATTGGCACCGCGTTCGCCACCGGGAGCCCCGCCCCCAGCCGGCTCATTGCCGCCGCCGCCGCGCCCGCAGCAACAGCCTCCACCGCCGCAGCGGGCGGCGGCGCGAACGGCGTGGGCTCGGCCGGCGGCGGCGGCGGCGCAGCTTGGTGGACGAGCTCGACGACATGCGCCTCTGCGTTCTTCTCGAGCGCGTCGAGGTTATACCCCCCCTCGAGGAGGGAGAGGAGCCGGCCGCCGCAGTGCCGCTTCGCGAGCGCCGCGGCGCGCGCAGTGAGGGCGGTGTAGGTTTCGACCTCGAGCCGGATGAAGCCGGACAGGTCGGGCGCGTCGTCGCGGTGCGCCTGCGGACGCGTCCGAGGCGGGTCCGGAGGCAGGCTCGAGGAGAGGGGCGGGGTCGGCCTCGTCGGCGCGGCGCGCGTCGAAGCCGCACGAGAGGAGGAGCAAGTCGGGGCGGAAGGCGTCGATCGCGGGGACGACGTAGCGGTCGAAGGCGGCGAGGTACTCGTCGGGAGGCGTGCCTGCGGTGCAAGAGGGCCGCGTCTCGAGCATGCGCGTGCGGTCCGGGAGGGCCGCGAGCGACGGCGCCGCACCGCGCGCGAGCGGCACGTTGACCAGCGTCGGCTCGAGCTGGAGTGCCGTCCCCGTCTCCGGGTAAAAGAACTGCTCTGCGCCGTGCAGGGAGGCGTAGAGCACGTTGTCGCAGCCCCACGAGCGCACGATCTCCTCGGTGCCGTTGCCGTGGTGCAAGTCCCAGTCGATGATGGCGACGCGGCGCACCGCGGCGGCATGCTGCAGCAGGGCGTACTTGGCGGCGATGGCCACATTGTTGAGCAGGCAGAAGCCTTGGCCGCACCGGTCCTTGATCAGCGGCGTCGGCGAGCTCGCGCGCTCGGTCGACGCGTCCGACGTTGAGCCGACCGAGCTCTGCTTCTGGAGCGGCGGCTGGAGCGGCGGCTTGAGCGGCGGCGGCTTGGGCGGCTTTGGCTTGCCGAGCTGCTTGCCCTCCTCCTCCTCCTCGAGCCGGCGCGGCGGGTGGTGCGACCTGCGCGCGCGCCCCGCCGGCACAGGCTTGCCGTCGCCGTTGGCGCCGTCCGAGGGCGCGCCGGCCGTCGGGCTCTCCGCCTCCGCCGCGGCCGGCTTCGGGCTCCCCGCCCCCTGGCTCCCCGCCCCCTGGCTCCCCGCCCCCGGGCTCTCTGCGCTCCGCGGCCGGCCGCCGACACGGCGCTTCGGGCTCTCCTCCAGCGGCAGGTCAGCAGCCTCGGTGGAGCCGCGGACGGTGGTGCCGTGGACGCCCGCGTGGTGCCCCGGAGGCCGGACCACGCAGAAGGCGTTCACCGCCTCGCCCTGCACGATCGCGTCCACGCCCTTGCAGCACGCGAGCACCGCGCAGAGCGCCGCGGCCAGCGACGTGTGCGAGGCGTAGGTGTCGCGCGTGATGCCCGAGAGGTTGCGGATGAGCGCCGGCATCGGCGCCTTGCGCTTGGTGTGCGCCGTCGCCATCCGCGCCGCGCGGCGCTCCTCCGACGCCGCCGCCGCCGCGCACGTCGCGCGCAGCTTCTCGAGGTAGACCGCCGAGTGGACCTGCCGCACCGCGGGCAGCACGCGCGCCTCGAGGTAGCAGACAGAGGCCGTCCGCCGCAGCGAGACGCCCACGGCGCTGCGGCGCGCCGCCTTGCCCGACCCGCCCGCTGCCACGTCGGGCGGCGGCATCAGCGCCGTGTCGAGCGGCGAGCTCGAGGCGGCCGCCGGCGCCTCGGTGGGCTTGATGAGCTGCGCCTCGAGCGCCGCGAGCATCTCGGTCGAGGTGGTGAGCTCGAGGAGGCGGAAGCGCGGCACCCCGCCAGGGCGGCTCGACTGGCCCTCCGCCGACGGCTCGCCGCCCAGCAGCAGCGAGCGCAGCCGCTCGAGCACGCGCTGCACTCGGGCCGGCTGCTCAGGGCACATCCGGTGCGTGATGTGCGAGGTGCATTGGGCGTGGGATATGACCCACGTCGCGCAGGAGGGGCCGGCCGCCGCCGCCGAGCCGCCAAACGACGGGTCGCTCGTGGTGCACGTGTCGTCCGGCTTTGGACGCTTGGCGGGCCGGTCCGGCTGCGCCCGCTCGACCTCAGACATGAGGTCGTGCAATGCATCTGGTCCGGTGATGGCCGCCGCCTCGGCGTCGAGCATGGGGCGCGGGGTGGGAGAGGGCGGCTGAGCGGTGCACACTGGACTCGCACAGCGCTGCCAGAGTCGGCTGACGGGGAGGAGAGCACGGAGGAGGAGCCCACCGAGGATAACCCAGGGCGGGCGGCTCTGTGTCCTCTGACTGAGCGCCCCTCGGGGGGGGTACCCGGGTACCCGGTAGCCCGGGGGCGTGGCCGCTGGGTAGCCGGGGATACACATACACTTGGTGCGACCCCAACAATTACGTCCGCCATGAGTGCCAGCGCCAGCTAGTCCCCTTCACCGTTCCGGTCCATGACACGCTCCCATAGATCTATGGCCATGCTGCAGGCAGCTTAACTAGCCCACTAGCCGAAGCCACTGCCCGGCGCCCACCTGCCTAGATCGTGTGCGGCAGTCTCGCGGGCGAAACAGAAATGCGCAGCAGAGGAAGCCAGCACGCATGAGGTCACTCCCTCACGAGCGCGCACGCGATCCGCGCGCCATCAAAGTCGTGCACGATGAAAGCATGGGAGACGGTGGCTTTCGATGCGAGTCCCGTGTGGGCTGTGGCCGCGCCGGATGCCACGGACCCGACAGCGGTGTAAGAGACTTTGGCCCACGGGTCCTCCGCAAGTTTCTCGTCGAAGTAGTGGCCGCCGGCATCACTAGTGCAGTCCGTGCCAGCGTGGATGTGCATGCCGCACGAGTTTGCGGCCTCTCCCGCCCCGCTGTTGCAACGCGAGTCGACGCCCGTGAGCGAGTACGAAAATTCTTGCGCGTCCGGCAGGTTGCACTTGAACGAAACATCGCCGCCCACCTGAGCGAGTCAGGAGTGCGCTCGTTAGTACCTGGGGGCCGCACAATTGCTTGTCAGTCGCGTGCCATGCACCTGCAAGTCGCCCTCGTAGTTGAAGTACGTTGTGAACCCAGAAGCTGTGATTTCACCGGCCGATCTTGCCGTCAAGGGTGCATAAAACTTTGAGAGCGTTGCGACAGCGGGAGCCAACAACGGAGCGGAGTCGCAGCTGCCACTGTCAAGAAAGCCAAAGAATTGGCAAATCCATTCCGCGCTCTTCTCCGCCGGGACGGAAAGCGCCGACGAGCGGCATACGCACACAAGGAGAATTGCACGCAGCATGGGGTGCTTCGGGCGCTTGCTTGCGGCTTGGGGGTGCGACGATTAACAAGGCAGTCCGGTGCCCGAACACGAATACAAAACTCGAGAATTTAACAAACAAGGCGCAAATTTTACGACAAAACTCCCTCGCACAACGCAGGGCACGGGACAATCGGAATTCTCCACCCTTGTCCCGCCACAAGGACCCCATCCCAGGAATTGCGACTCGCCGCTTTCCTCCCGCTGTGATCCTGTGTGTGGTGAGCTCTGTGTCTTGTTTTCCCAACAACATACGTACACACCCTTGTCCCGCGCGACCGCCGTTCTGGCAAGAGAGCGACCCGCTCTCTGTGCGTGTGGCGGAGCAAGGGGCAAGCCGAGCCGAGCCTGGGTTGCGGCGGCGTGATGAGAGAGCACTCAGAACTCTCTTGCGGTCTCGAGGTCTCGAGGTTGGTTCCGAAAAGAATTTGTACGACATGTTTTCTTTCTTTTTCTACTCGGAGCCAGTGATACGAGAATACGCACATGTTACGAGAATACGCCCCGCCCCCAGCCCCCACGGAATACCTGTAGGCTGATGGCTGTACTACTCGACGATAATACAAGAATACGCAGCTTGGAAGTTGCAGACGCCTATAAAGAAGACATAGTGTTTTTTGGTGTTACGGTGCCTACAAGAAATATCCGAGATCGCATGGAGCTGATCACAGGGTTTACGGCGGTCATTGTCCCCTACCAGCGGGCACAGGTGGGCCGCGGACACCCGTGAATGACCTTAAGGTAAGCTAAAAGACGTACAACGAAACTCCCTGCACGACACTGGAATTCTAATTAGCAAAATAGGGTTAGGCAGAAGCGGGGTCGCGCGACATCCGTGCTCAGTTAGAGTAAAGCTCTGTAACACACATAAAACCGGCGGACCCTTACGGGGTGTGGAGGGTGAGTTGAACAGGGGTTGTGCGCCAAGCCCTCCTGCTCGGCTCCAGCGAGTAGACAAGTGTTACCATCAACAGAGGAGAAGGATATGACCTCAGGGCTGATGTGACCAAGCGCTGGTAGCGTGGTTTTAACTCACACCCATGGTCTCACAGTGTGCCGGCAGTCGCCGAGCAGTGTCGCTCACACAAGCCGCAGCACAAGTGACTGAGGGCCAGTGAGGGCGAGCCCATCGCTGTCACAGCTGTGGCAGCCGCACAGTAGGCTGTGTCAGCTGTGCAGAGTGTGTGAGCAGCAGAGGAGCTGCTCTCCAGGCTTCTGTCGCAAAGAGCTGCATGCCACCGAAAGCGCTGTCGAGGTTCGCCGAGCGCGGCGCAGGTTGGGGGAAGCCGCCACCGACGAGCGCGTTGGACTTTTCACTCTGGACAAAAAACGCGGCACAGCGGACGGTGCGGGGCGTGCCGCAAACTTAGCGGCGAGGCGCGGGACCGTCTGTGGCGAAGTGGGTCGCGTCCCCCGATTTTGTTCAACCCAGCATCCACACCCTTTACAGATCACAGATCACATAAAACCGACAACTCTCAACGCTCAAGTTGTCAACGGGCGGACGGCGGGACGGGCAAGGTCGGCGGTTTGCACGCCAAGGAGGGTAGATAGGGCGAGAAGCTGCGCCGTGTGGGGGGAGTTGTGGACTTGTGCGTTGTGGTGTGCCGTGTGGCCGCGCGCGCGTGTGCGCGAGCGCCGCGACCGAGGTCCTTCTTATACACACTCTTACACTTCCAATTGTTTTTTAACTTACACGCAACACACAAATCTCTCTCTCTACACGCAGAGTATGGCCCTCGTATATGATTAACGTACACCGGGCCCGAGATTCAAAGGACCCGGACCGTCCCCCGCGCGAACGGCTCCCCCTCTCCGATTGGCGCAAAAGTTCTGCCGAGCCGCAGCTCGACGCGGACGACCCGCTCGCCCTCTGCGAGCGCTGCCCGGGCCACCGGCTTGGCAAAACAAGCGCAAAAGCAATGGCGGCCAATCCAGCGCCAATCCGGCGCGCCACCGGCGCGAATGCGTCGCCTCTCGAGCTCCTCGTGCGCCGTCGGCAGCACCAGCGCGTCGAGCGCCGCGTACTCGAGCTGCTGCGCCTGCAGAGGCGGGAGGGGAAAGCGACGCGTTGGCGCGCGCCGGGGAGGCATACGCACCGCGCACGGCGAGGGTTACCGCTAGCGGCCTCCTGCCCCAGTTGGAGAGGCAGCAACGCTTGTCCAACGGCGCCCCGAGCACCGTCGCGCAGAGCGCGGACAAACCTACGGGCAGCCGCACCGTTTGCACCGTGCGCTCCTCCCTCGGAAATGGAGGCGCGAGGGGGTGGGGACGCACTTGAGACTGCTCCGGCGCCCCGCAATTTGCGCCACTCGTTGACCAGGTCGACGGACGGGGAGACGGCAGAGGCCGCGCAGCAGCAGCGGAGTGAACCGTGCGCGGAGCGGACCACCCTCAAGTCTGCGGCGAGACCAAACCCAACTTTGAGGAGGCGAGGAGAGGCAAAGAGAGCGCCTGAGAGAGGGGCGGAGCGGGAGTCTCGCAACGGGGGTAGGCCCCTTCTGCACCGAGGGCCGGTAGGGAGCACGGCGACTCACCGAGAGCGGCCTGCAAGTGGGCGGCGCTCCTACGGCGCAGCGCGGTGGGGTGGCACGTGATTCAGGCACTGCCAGAACGCGCGCGGGTGGGGCGCTGCAGCGCACGAGGGCGTGGCGATGAGCGTCGGCAAGTCGAGCAGCCACGCCTCGCCGCGGCAGCCCAGCTGCAGCCACTGCACGCTCAGGCTGCCTCCGCCACAGCTCGAGCCGCCAACCCACTCGGCGTCGATCCCGAGGCGAGCGAGGCCGTGGCCGGCGAGGATGATGGCGAGCATCTTTGCCAACCCCTCCTCGCCGTCCACCACGTGCACCCGCGACGCCGCCAGCCGAAGGGCGGCGGGGGCGGGGGCGGCAGCATCGGCGGCGGGGGCGGGGGCGGCGGCATCGGCGGCGGCGGGCGGCTTCGGCTTGCTCCCTCGAGCGGGCGGCCCGAGAGGCCATACCAAATCTTCTGCCCTCACCGCCTGCGCACGCGCGCGCTCCTATTCAGCGCGCCGTGACCAACGCGTCATGAGGCGGTGGCGCGAGCGCGTGGCGAGGAGCCCCGCTCCTCGGGGGTCGGAGGCTCGCCGAGCTCTTCCGCAACTTCGCGCTCGAGCCCGTGCCTATTTCCCTCAAAGACTGCGCCCCTCCGAGAATGGGCCGCGAGCGGCCGCGGCCACCGGCGGGCGCGCCTCAGAGCGCACTGGACCGCGACCGGCCGTAAGCCACGCTTCGAGAGGCGCTCGGCAGCAGAGCGCAGCAGCGACCTCCACTGCTCGGCCGCTAGCTCCACCTAATGCGCGGCGAGGCGAGAGGCTGGGCGGGGGAGGGAGGGCGGCGAGGAGCGCGCGCGTCGCAAAGGGCGCCTCCCACAGCGCCCCCTCCTCCTCCTCGCCCTCCTCGCCGCTGCCCTCGCCGCTGCCCTCGCCGCCCTCACCGCCGCCGCCGCCGCCGCCGGCCGCGGCCGCGCCTCCTCCTCCCCCCCCGGCCTCGATCGCCTCCGCTGCTCGGGCAAAAAAGCTGTCCAGTTGGTCGGCGAGTCCCTCGCGCACGAGCCAGCCCAGCCGCGCGCGGTGGAGGCCGAGGGCGATGGCGGCAAGGAGAGGCTGCGGTGCGCTCCGCGTCAGGCGGAAGCGCGCCACATATCTCGCCGCGAGCCTCGGGTCGCCCTGCGCAGACAGCGCCTCGACGAGGCGGAGCTGCAGCCGCGGCGAAGGGGCGGCGAGCGAGAGGGCGGCGCCGAGGCCCGAGGAGGAGGAGGCGAGACGGTCGACGAGGGCGTCTGCGTCGACCAGGGCCTCGAGGTCGAACCTCACCACAAGCAGCGCCGCCTCCGCCTCCTCCCCGCTCGCAATCAGGCTCTGCGTGGCGGCGAGAGCGTCCGACTGGCCGAGGCCGGCTGGACCGGCGAACGCACCCCCGTCGACGGACGCCCACCTCGCAAACGCCGCGCACAGCTTGCGAAAGAGGCGCGGCTGCGCGACTGCCAGCGCGGCGGCGCGTGCGTGGAGAGCCGGAGCAGGCGGCGCCGAGAGCCGCGCCAGGCAGTCCAGCAGCATCCTGCAGCTGGCGGCGGCCTGGCCGCTCTTGCGGGCCAGCATTCCCGCCGCCAGCGCCTCGACGGCGGAGAGGAGCAGGCTGTGGGCGTCCGCCTCATCGGCCAGGGCGGCGGTGAGCGCCTCGCCGACGGCCGGGTGAGACCGGCTAGGCACCGCCTCGAGACTGCGCAGGAGCGCGTCCGCGCTGCTCACGTCGAGCTGCGGCAGCGGCGCCGCCTGCGCGCGGTCGTGCTTCCGCCTCTTGGGCATGGCTGCGAACTCGCACCGGCACTCACGAAAGAAGGGTGGGTCATCACAAACACGGTACCGTCGGGTACTTATTTTAAGAGCAGGTAAACAGCAATAGATCCGGCCCTCAAGCGGCCTAATCGATACCCAGCCCTCACGGAATCGGTCCCTCGTTGTACAGCAATCGATCCTTCACACTGCCCGCGCTGCCAAACTTGCTGAGAATCGGTCCCCCCACCTGTGGCGCGAAGCTGATATGTCTCCCGCGCTCGGCGCGCCGACCGCGCAGCGGCGGCAGACCACCCTCCGGTTCGAGGGGCGCCTGGGGGTGAGCGGGCTGCCTCCGCCAGAGTTTGGCTCGCCCACCTGTGCGGGCCCCCCTGTACCCCCTCCCCCCCCCCGGCCCGGGTGTCTAGCAATTGGTCCCTTTTGGCAAGCGCGAATCGGTCCCCCTGGCTCCAGGAACTGATCCGGCACTACACCCGGATCTATTGCTGTTTACCTGCTCTTAAAATAAGTACCCGACGGTACAGGATCGAGGTGCACGCCGCCGAGGCAGTGTCGTCCCCCCGTGCACCCGCACACCCGGCACTCATCACAACCCAGGGGGGCACTGGAAAGAAGAATTTACTACCGCGCAATCCGAAAGGTGGCAGAGACTCCCTCCCCTGTCTGTTTTCTTTCTTTCTTTCTTTCTGTGGCAGAGACTGCCTGAAGCTGGAGGCAGGTCGCTAGACTGAGATGAGACCGCCAGTGGAGTTGGGAGTCCCCACCGTCGTGCACCGCGCTGCGAGCCTGTCTGTCTTGTCGTGCGTGTCCCTTGTCAGGAGCAGGAGAGGAGGAGAGCCCCACCTGTGCCCCTGTGATCGTCCTTCCAAAATCCTGCTCGTGCAGGTGGGGTCTGGGGACGACCCTGTCCTCTTCCCCCATCCCTCGTTTGGTTGTCTGTTTTCTTTCTTTCTTTCTTCAGGTGGCACGCCCCCGCAGGACCAGGAGATGCCCGCGGGCGAGAATGACAGAAGGTCAAGGTGTGTCCGGACTCCGGCGGCCGCGGCCGAGCGGATATCCGGTGCGTCAAAGAAAGAGAAATACAACTTCTCGAAGTGCTCCCAAACAGACAACCCAAGGGAGGGGTGGGAGCGTCAGGAGCTCTCCTCTGGCATCCTTCTCGAGGCATCCTTCTTTCATCGTCGTTCGTTCGTGCGAGGAGAGGCGAGGTGCTGCACGCACGAGCTCCAGCGCGAGGCCGTGCGCTCTAGTGCTGGTGCGCGTCGTTGCCGTCCCTAGTAGGTCCGGCCGGGAAGCGGCCTGACGATTGGGCCATCGGGCCGCGCTCCGAAGGCGTCGAACGGCGGCGGCTTGTCGTGAGGGGAGTACTCCACCGAGTTGAGCGCGATGATGCGGCCCCACTTGTCGCGCCTGCCAACTCAAGAGGGGGGCGTCAATTGGGAAGGGAGGGGAGAAGGCAACATCGCAGGCCAACGCCCAGCTAGCCTGTAGGAAACGGGCTCGATTGCACACTCTGCCAAAGCTGCCTTGACCGACGCCTCGGGCACGCCCCGCTCTGCGAGGAGGTCGATGCGCTCCTGCACAGTGGCAATATTCTTGAGGAGCACCAGCTCCTCGTCCGCGAAGACAGCCATCGCCGCCGCCTTCTCCTCCGCCGCCTTCTCCTCCGCCGCCGCCTTGGCAGCGGCAGCCTTCTCCGCCTTCGCCTTCGCCTCTGCCTCCTTCTTTGCCTTCTCGGCCTCCGCAGCCGCCGCAGCCGCTTCCGCATCTTCGCCCTCCTCCTCTTTATCCGCGAGCTTCTCTTTTGTGGCTGTGGCTGCCTTCGCGGCGGCTGCCTTTGCCGCCGCCGCCGCCGCCTTGGCGACCGCCTCTGGGTCGTCAGCCATGACAACGGCAGACCGACTGCTGCGTTCCAGAACCGAGACGCCGGCGAGCGGGATGCTGGCGCCACATCGCTTGCCGAGGCGAACCCGTCCCACTGGCGGCGCTGGGAGGAAGGCTGGCAGGCAGATCACGAGTACGGTCAGCATATCTCGTCGCGGAGAGGTCTGGCGGCGGCGGTGCGCGTGAAGTGGCGGTGCGGTTCCGGCCGCGAAGTCACGCTCAGAATTTAAACAAAAGAAGTCTCTCTGGTGTTCATTATAGCTCCGAGTAGAGGGGGCGGTCTGCTGCTAGGGGAAACCCGGAGCGCGGAGCCAACCCTCGGAGACCCGTGTTTACTTTACGGCCCTCTCCCTGCGAACGCGCACCCCCTGGGCTAGGGCTCTCTTGCCCGCAACCCGATGCCAATCATCCGGCCCGCTGGGTGCGCTTCTGAGCTCCCCGGCCCTGGATGTGCGGTTAATGACTGCACTCCAAGTGCTCCAAGTCTCTCTCACAGCACACAGGCTCGACACAGGTGCGAACTGGCGCGTGCTAGTACTATCACCGGCACACCACCGGAGCCGCCTAAGCGACTCCGTTAAGAACGGCAATGCACTTAGCACCGTGCACAATGCCGCTGTCCCCGCACGCTAGCTCGTTCACCGTCTGCCACGCCACGGCGGTGTGGAGGACGACAGACAAGCGCTGCATCTGCAGCCCGTGCCAGTTCTTGGTGGTCCATGTGACCTCATCGAGGTGCTGAGCGTGCGAAAGTTTGTTACTCAGCTGGTCCGCCGCCTGCCGAAGAATTTTGCGGACGCCGTCCCCGAAGCCGCCGAACGTCTCGAAGTCGAGCAAACGCAGGTCGCAATTCTTCTCCCGCGCGAACCGGTAGTCGCCCTTCTCAGAAAACCACAAAGGATTTCACGGGAAGGAACAGGTGTCACTCACACACAGAAAGAAAGAATTTTACAACAAAGCTCCCTCGCACAACACTGGGCACGGGACTGGCTCGCACTGGCACTTACACAGGTACACCACGGGAGCCGCCTAAGCGACTCCTGCGAGAGTGGCGAGGCACTTAGCTCCGTGCACCCGCCCACCCCCGCCACAGGCAAGCTCATTCACAACCTGCTCTGCGATTGCCGTGTGAAGAACGACTGTGGACTGAGATACGCTGCTTCTGCAGCCCCAGCCAATTCTTAGTGGTCCAAGTCACCTCATCGAGGTACTGGGCCCGCGTCAGCTTGTTCTGTAGCACGTCCGCCGCCTTCCGGAGGATCTCGCGGACCCCCTTTCCGAACCCGCCGAACGATTCGAACAGCAGCAGCTGCACGTCAACGCCCTTGTCTTCCCTGGCGTAGCGATAGTCCCCGCCGTAGCCGGCACCAACTTGATTCCCGGATCGGCGTCTCCCCCTCCCCCTATGTGCCGCCACCCCCCTCCAATCCGTAATTCCGTAAAATCGCGCGAAAAGCGCCCAAATCGAGCTGGAGAGCGCCCCCCAGCCGCATGGGAGCGTGCCCCAGCTAGCAGGAGGCACTTGGAGGCGTTAGACGTACTTTTGGAAGGACTTTCGGCGACGTCCGTTCCCTTGGACACGTCGACAAATGGCACCGACGCAGCTCAGCATTGTGCTGGAGCGCCTGCTCAACGAACTCGGAATAGCCAACCTCAGTATGTTCGAGCGAGGCTGTGCTCATGCACGATACAGGCGCGGTGCTCGACGCGGTCCGAAGCATCGCTGCAGCCGCAGAGGCTGGTGCGGCGGCTTATGCCAGCTCGGCCACGAGCAATGTTGTTGTGTGCCGAAGCAGCACTGCTACCGCTGGCGCAATCTCCGTTCAGCACGAGGGCAGCATCTCCCGCACTCTCGTCAGCACAGACGCGCAAACCACGCTAAAGGGCTCGGACATCCATGCAGCCGCGAGTAGTGCGACTGCTGAGATGCTGCTCCCCGGCAGGAGTTGGAAGAGAAGTTGCGGTCACAGACCAAGGAGCTCGCTTCTGAGCAGCGCTCTGCGAACGCTATGAAGAAGGCGCTAGCGCAGCGCAACATGTCCGAGAGTACAGTTGTAGCGCGCGGCCCTCAACCTCTGCTAATGACGTTGTCATCGTCAATTCGGTCGCGTTCTCCGGTGTGTGCTGACCGGCGTTCTGCTCGGTGGCTCCGCGCTTCCGCCATATTGCAGTTGCTGTCGGTGCCACGAGTGCGGATGTCGTTTGGCCGGGGTTGAGACACTTGGCCACGGCTGGCTCGACGACCGTCGCCACGTCTTTCCACTCGATGTTGCTGACCGCCATGTGGTTTGAACGCTTTGCTACCCGGCCGCCGCGGGCACCTCGGCGCCGGCATCATATCCTCCGCGACATCAAGGAGATCCGCCATAAAGCAGCGCCCAGCAAGCCAGGGACAGATGACACAGGCGACTTGAGCGCGTATCACCCAAAACTATTCACTTTTGAGCGCCATATGCGCAGGAGGTGCGTATGTCAACATACGCGCCTGCACGTGTGAGCGCTCATATTGACTAATATTCGCGTCTGCATGTGTGGGAGCGTATGCTGACCGCCAAGCACCCACGCCGACACCGCGAGTACTAGCTAAGATAGGCGCCACAAGCGTGGGCGCTCATCTCAAGATACGCAGCTACACGTGTAGGCGCGAGCCTTACTCAAGATAAGCGCCCAGACACGAAGACGCGTATCTGGGCTACCTGGACGCAGACGCGCATCCTCATGTGTGGGCGCTCATCTTAGTTAATACTCGCGTCCACACTTGCAGGTGCGTATATGGGCTCGGTGCACATGAGCACTTACACGTCAGGGCGCGAGCCTTAGCTAAGATACGCGCCTACACGTCTCGGTGGTCATTTTTGACCCACTTTCTCCTGGAAACCCCGGAAACCTCCCTTGAGCACCAAGTGTGGGTCATATGCAATGCTTTGCGAAGGCCGCCGGCGCCCACGAGAGCACGACCCGCGTACGGGTCGTCATCCTCGCCGGCGCTGATGCTGCACAAAACATAAGCCAAGCGGCACAAAATGTCGGTCTGGAAGCAGTCTGGGCAACGACGGCGGCGCAGGCGCTGAAGCATCTGCAATCGCGAGGTGGCGAGCCGTCGCTCGCGGCGGTCGTGTGCGCTCTCGGCACTGACGACGCCACGAGCGCGTGGCCCGTGCTCCGTTTCTGCAAGAAGGCCCTACCGCGTACGTTTGCAATCGTCCGCAGCCACACAGCGGCAGCTGACCCGCAGCTCCGACTGCAGTGCTTCGACGGCGGCGCCATGATGGTAACAGCAGGCGACGCCGCGGTCGAGACGGCGCTCCGCACGGTGGCGCGAACCGTCCTGAGCGGCGGCGAACACCACTGCCCGGAGTGCGGCCTGTCTGATCTCACTGGTGACGTGCTGCGTGAGCATCTGACCTTCCACCACGCGACGCATCCCAACGGCGCCTCGCCGACGAGCTGTCCGCTGTGCGCCACGCGGCTGCAACGCTGCCCGCTCGCGGTCCACCTGATGCGCGAGTGCCCGGGATGCTCGCCTGCCGGACGCGAGCCGCCGCCGGCGCCGTACGCCGCCTTCGCATGGGTGGTGGCGCGACGGCGCTCCGACGGCGCTTTCCTTCTTGTCAACGAGCCCGCGGCCATTGCGGGCGGACGGTTCCCGACTTGGATGCCCACCGACCCCCCAGCGGACCCCACACCCGCCGTCGCGCCCACTCTCAACAGTCGCGGCGGACCAGAGATCATCCCACGTCCACCCGTGCCAACCCGCCTATCGCGCCCCTCTGCCAGGCCCAACCATTGGCTGCCCGCCCCTCTGCCAGGCCCAACTATTGGCTGCCCGCCGGTCGCGTCGACGCTGGCGAGTCGCTCGAGGACGCGGCAAGGCGCGAGAGCGAGGAGGAGGCGGGCGTGAATGTGCGTCCGACGGGCGTGGTGCGCTTCATGGTCGATGACGACGTGGCGCCGAGCGTGATGCGAGTCGTGCTCACCGCCGAGGCCGACGAGGACGATCCGCTCCCAAAGTCGGTGCCGGACTGGGAGTCGGCGGGGGCGCTCTGGTGCGACCTACCGGGCCTCGCCGCTCTGCGCACGTCCGACTTCCGCAGCCCCGACCCGCTCGAGCTCTTCCCGCGCGTGGCGAGCCGTGCGCTCCCGCCGGCGTCGCTCGACACGCCCGCGTGGCGCGCGCTCGAAGCGCTGCTGCGCCGCCTGACGCGCGGCGACGCTGCCGCTCAGGAGGAGCTTCCGACGGTGTGGGCGGCGATCAAAGCGACCTATCCAGGGTTGGTGTGACCTGAACATCATGCGCCAAGCAAATGCCAAATCATTCGGTTCACATCAGACATGTGACATTAGCTTTACCGCGGTTTTCGGCCCGCCCTTTTCCGCGTCGAAAGAATCGACCGCATACTACCCGTATGCCGTATCGTATCCGCATTTGCGGGAACTTAGGAATTTAACAGGGGGGGGGGGAGTGTGCAGTTTGGGGAGCACATGGCAGCGGAAACTTTGTCTGCGGCCCCGAGCGTTCGCCCGGCCACCGTACAGGTCACGAGACCGCGGCGACGACCTGCGGCTGCGCAAACTGTGCGAGGTCCAGCACTTCGACGCGCGGCTCATCTCGCGCCTTCTGGAGCTCCTCCTCCGTGCAGTACCCCCAGGAGCACAGGTAGAAGCGCACGCCGTCCAGCCGAGCGTGACGGAGGGGTTTCTTTGCGTGCGCGCCAGTCCCGTGCCCAAAGAAAGAAAGAAAGAAAACAGACAACCCAAGGGAGGGATGGGAGGACGGCACGCCGCCACCACACAGGGATTTTAAGGAGAGGTGTGTGGTGCGCTAGCCGTCGCCCAGTGTCGTGCGAATGCCACTTGTAAAATTCTTTGCGAGCGTCGGCCAGCGATCCTCGAAAAGTGCGACCTACGCCCCTACTCGCACAGCCTGCAGCCGGAGTCGGCTGGGACTATCCGGAGAGGCGTGCTGCACCCCTCGGTGCGGAGTTGCTCCAGGCTGGCGCCGATGCGGAGTTCCCCTCCCCTCGAGCGCATCGTCGCCGTCTCGGACGTCCACACCGACCATGCATCCAACTTTGCGTGGTGCGAGGCCCTCGCCGCGAGCCCGTCCTGTTCCAGCTCCGTGCTCCTCCTCGCTGGCGACGTGTCCGAGAAGCTCGCCCGCTTTGAGGAGACGCTAGCGCTGCTGAGCAGCGCGTTCGGCGCCGTCTTCTTCGTGCCGGGCAACCACGACCTGTGGTGCCGCAAGGACGGCTCCGAGGGCGCGGACTCCGTCGCCAAGCTCGAGCGGCTCGAGCGCGTGTGCGAGTCGCTCGGCGTGCTGACGACGCCGCAGCGAGTCTCGGTGGGCGGCTCGCAGGTCGCCGTCGTGCCGCTCCTCTCCTTTTACCACGCCAGCTTTGACACGGAGCCCGACGTGACGCGACTGCGGCTGCCGTCCGCCCGCGCTAGCGTCAGCGACTACAAGGCCACGCGCTGGCCGGAGCCGCTGGAGTGCGGCGGCGAGCCGCTCGCGGAGTGGTTCGACGCGCTCAACGACGGCCGCGCCGGTCGCGCCGCCGCGCAGGCGGCGGGCCGCGCCGGCCTCACGCCGCTCGGCGAGGACTTTGCCGCCGAGGAGGCCGCCGCCGTCGTCTCCTTTTCCCACTTTGTGCCGCGGATCGAGCTCGTGCCGGAGAAGCGGTACCTCGTCTACCCGCCACTGATGCAGGCGGTGGGCTCGCGCCCGCTCGGCCGCCGCGTCGCCGCCCTCAGGCCGGACCTGCACGTGTTCGGGCACACGCACTTCGGGTGGGACGGCCGCGTCGACGGCGTGCGGTACGTGCAGGCGGCGCTGGCGACGCCGCGAGAGCGGGAGCGGCGCCCTCGCTCGCTGGCGGTGGGCGACGACTTTCGGCCAGACGGCCGCCTCGCGCCGCTCTGCGTCTTTGATGCGGCGGTGGGCGGCTTGCCGGCGCCGCGTCGCGCGGCTTGGTCCGAGCACTATTCGCGGGCGCCGCGGGCGCCGTCGGACACGCGCCCCGCGCCTTGGGTTGTCGACCACTGGCTGCGCCGGGCGCCGGCACGCGTGAGCAGCGCGGAGGGAGAGGAGGCCGCCGACGGCGTGGGCGACCGCGGGCCTTGGGGCGGATTGGTGGGGGCCAAGGGGCCGTCGCCGGCAGGGTGAGGGTTGGGTGTTGCCGGTGGTTTTGGCTCGCATACCCTCGACACATGAGGTGCAAGGTGGGTTAGGTGGCCTCGAGCCGTATCGCGAATGATGTTGGTTTCTTTTTTATTGCGCGCGTCTCAAGGACTGAGCCCTGGTCTGACAGCCTGACCCAACAGCAAACCCCGGGGGGCCGGGGACACAGCGGTCAGCGCCTGACAGTGCCCCCGTGCCCCGACAGCCTGACAGCGCTGACAGCACTGCCAGCACTTTCTCTGACAGTGGTCTGACAGCACGTATATCTCTGACAGCCTGACACGTGACAGCAGAGCCTGACAGGCGAGGCGACCCGTCGCTGTCAGGCCCTAACGTGACAGCCTGACAGCTGCCTGACAGCCCGACAGCACACAAGTGGCCTGACAGCCCAGCGCTGACAGCCCGACAGCAGCACAGACCGCACACAGACCCCGTAGAGCCTCTTTCTTGTGCCCCATGTGCCATGAGGGTATAATAGGGGGGGATATGGCTCAGTGTAAAAATAAATTTTCTTGGGCTGCTCTGGCTCGGGCAGGTGGCCGCCATTCTGTTCGGTTTTGGCCTCTTTGTGTACCTCCCAGCTCCGAGGTGTCGCATTCCCGGCTCCGCTGACGATTGATGCAGCTTCCTCCCGTGGTGCCACACCTGCACCAGCGCGGTGCTAAGCCTTGCCGCCACCTCCGCCCTCAGGAACGGTACACAACTCGGCGCGATGGGCAGGAAGTCGGGCATGACGGGGGATGCGGAGAGGCGCAAGCGGCGCAAGGCCGCCGAGGCGGCCGCTGTCTCCGTCGAGCCCACGGGCGCCACCGAGGCGCCGGAGCCGCCCGCCGCGCCCGACAACTCGCCGGAAAGGGAGGTCGAGCCGGCAGTCGAGCCGGCAGCGCCCGATCATCCCTGCCTCCGGCACCCAGACCCCGAGGTGAGGGCCCTCGCGGCGCTGCAGCTGAAGATTGAGGCGGAGCAGTCGGGCACGGAGTCAAAGGAGGAGATCGAGCTCAAGGTGAAGATGGCGTGGCTGGCCCGGCTCGCCGACGACTACTGCGTGCGCGTGGGCGACACTGAGCGGACCAAGGGGCTCTTCGGCGGGAGGCGGCCTTGGTGGCGAGAGGAGGGGTGGCACGAGTGGTACCCCGGCCGCTGGGCGGAAAACCGCCTTCTTTGGGGCGAGTACAACGAAGAGCGAGATGGTGAGACCGAGATGGAGCTCCTCCGGCACCGGCTGGCCCGCTGCCGGAAAAAATCCGGGGTTTAGCTGGCGTATCTCGGGCCCACTTTAGAGCTAGGGCATGATCTTAGGTGTTCTGGATAGCCCACAAGGGTCTTCTGTGGCATGGTAGCGGTGGTTTTGCGCGAGGCGTTCATTCAAAAATCACCATATCCCCCCCTAGGTATAACAAAATCCTTACAATGTGCATGTGACATGTGAGTGTGGTCCATGGAGTCATGGGATGGTCATGGGTCTCTCTCTCTCAACCCTCCCGCCCCACCTCTGCGGACCTCTCTCTAGCACCGGCGGCTGTGCTACTACAAATGAAGCTACCAGCTAGCCTTCTGGGGCCCTACAGTCATATGCCTACGGCGTCTGGGTGGGGCTGGGGGTGGCCGCCGCCGTCTGTGCCGCCGCCCATATTTTGGCCCCTCGAGTCTATCGAGCTCTCCTCGCTGCGACGGTGTATCATTCACTTTATGCCACCGTTGCATATCCGGATATGCAACGGTGGCATAAAGTGAATGATACGGATATGCAACGGTGGCATAAAGTGAATGATACACCGTCGCACTCGCGCAAGCGGCAATGACGACTCTTCTGACGCCCACTCCGATCATTTGCCGCCAAGTCATGTCGTTACTCAGGTCACGCAGTCCCGGCACTTGGAGCACTTGGAGTGCAGTCAGTAACCGCACATCCAGGGCCAGGGGGCTAAGAAGCAGAGAGTCGTGATTTCTTGTTGGTTAATAAAAATGAAGAAGCAGAACCCCGTCTTTGAAGTTCTTTGGGGAGGGTCCGGCGGGGAGGGCGGGGTGGGTCGGGACGGGGTGGGGCTTTGGGGAGGGGTCCTCCGATGTAGCTCTTACGAACATACACAACCCCCTCTCCCTTTTCTCCCAGTAAGCTAAAAGTACATAACCCGGCCGGAGGTGGATGGACTGCTGACAGACAGGGCTTTGTAAAATTCTTATCGGTTGTAGAATTCTACCGGCCATTGATTGTGCCCAGGGCATTGTGAAACTCTTATCTGCGGCTCCCGTGAGATTCCTGTGTTAGCGCCAGTGCGCGCCAGTCCCCTAGCTGCTGTCAGGAGACGGAACACGGAGGAAGGAGCTGTATAGGTCACTAGAGACCCACACCATCGCTACATCACCACAGCCACCAAGTCGGATACAAGTCGATGACAATGTGCGCGGCAGGACAAACCAAACATGAGACGGTTACACAAGGACGGTCAGGCTACGGTCAGGAAGTAGGTTTGAGTTCACACTCTCCAACATTCCCCCATTGGAGCAGAGCTTCTTGGCGCGGTTGGTATTGGCTAAGGGGGCCCCTAACTCCCATATCTGTGGTGTGGAGCGCGAGGCGCGCTCTAAGAGGCAACAGTGGGATGAGGAAGCTGTTGGTGGCGCTTGCTGCTGCACAGCCATGCTGTTCTCTTAAGCAGTCGAGTTCAGGGCAGGCGCCACAATGCGACACCAGTAGGTTTGCTAACGTCATCCGCGGAGTGCAGTGCCGCAACTTTGAGCACAACAAATCAGCGGTTTCCTCACATGCGTGCAAGCTGAGTTGCTGCGAGTCGGCGGCGTGCAGCTCTTGGGTTTGGTCGGACCAAAAGGGGTGCTGGGTGGGACGGGGCGCGTGCTCTGGGATGCAGAGTCGCGATTGGCATGGCGCCTCCCAAGTGCCAGTCGTTCCCCTTCCCGGATGTGGAAACAGGTGGTGTGACCACCCTGAGCAGTTGCCCGGCGCCGGCGAGGGCTGCGTTTCTCCCTTGGGGTGTCAGGCCGGTTTGACTTGCATCGGTGAGCAGTCCTCTATCGACCGTCGTGGCTGCAATGTGCTCGATGGCAAATGTAAGTGCAGTGCTTCGCAGGAGCGCACGGCCAGGGACCAGCCTGCCGCCGTCAGCGACCCACCCACCGAAGAGGAGAGGTTCCAATGCGTCAATTTCAAGACGTGCCTTGGCAGCATCGAACGGCTCAAGGCTCTGCTGGCTGCGGAGAGGGCGAAGAATGCGGCCGCCACGGTGCGAGCTCCAGCAAATGGAGGCCCCACTGTCTACGACACGAAAGGCAGTTAGTCCGTTTCGTGGACGCACATCCTCAAAGGGCCTACTTCGCGCGGCTTAATCGTCTCGCGGTCTCAACGGCAACGCGGTCGAGGTCGCTGGAGTTGGAGTGGCGCATCTGGAAGAGCCATTCCCTGGTGACTTCGACTTGGAAGCAAGCGACGTCGCATTGTCGTGGAAGGCGCGTGTGATGTAGGTGCGGGTTGGGACCTCCATTTGCATCAAATGGGAGTGTCGCTCGACTGCGTATCCCGCACAACCGCGGCGGTCGAATTCGGCACGGAACTTGCTACTTGGAGACGCGGTGCGCCTTCACCGCGTTCCGGGCCGATCCGGGGCCACCTGACAGACGTGTCTCGAGAGAGACCGGGAGGGCTGAGCTTTTCCTCTCTTGGCTTTCAGGACAAGAAACAATACCGATAAAAAATGTAGAGATAAACTATATCAGATACTTTGATCCCCTGCGCGTATCGGCGCAAGTCAAGTCTCTCTCTCCGGGCCGACGACGTCAGCGAACACGACCGGCACCTCTGGCCATGCAGTCTGCATGCTGGCCACGAACTGTCTGATGTCGACGCGCAGCTTCAAGTCCGGCTCGCCACCGCCCAGCCACGCCGTGCCATCGGCCAAACCACGCAGCCGCTCAGAAACAAGCAGCGGCATCGGCGTCGCCATGCCGAGCGGCGTCACTGCGTTGTGCTCAAAGCCAGAAAGCGCCAGGCTCTCCTCTCCCGAGACCATCCGCAAGCTGTACTGCCTCTTCGCGGCGGCGTGCCTCCCCTCGAGGCCGCGAACCACGTCGGTCAGCTTGTGCTTGTCCAGCTTTGGGCCATCGTACTGAAGCACAACGCACACGCGCTTGTACCGGCCCAAGCCCGCCGCCTCCGCCGCGCTCACGCCGGAGAGGCGCGTGTTTTCCATAATCATCGACTTGCAGAGGGCCGCAGTGGAGCAGGCGCCGAGGACGTCCCGTCGCCACTCGAGCTCGTGCTCGTAATAATCTTGCGGCGTGCGGCAAAAGCGCGCGCTTGAGAGACCGAGCTCGCGCGCCACGAGCTCCAGCCGCGCCTGAACCGGCGACGAGTCGTGCGGCGGCGCTGCGGCCGCCGGCGATGGATGCCGATCGACGAGAGCATGACCTGCGCGATCGATGCTCAGTCGAACGCCAGAGGCTTCCGCCGCGATGCTCACAGCGACGCAAGGTTCGCAGAGAGAGATGGCGAGCCTGACGCCTGAGCCGCTGCCGCCCGAGCCGCTGTGGATGGTGAGGGTGACCAGCCTGCCCATCACGACACCTCACTCGAGTCCTTTGGCCTCTTGGCTGGCTTTGTATGGAGACCTCGAGAGAATCGCTCGCCTAGACCCTTGCGCCACTACGTTGGATCTCAACCCGCCAGAAAAACGGTATGGCGGGTGGAGTGCTCTCTACTGCCGCGGCGCCCCTGTCGGTTCGGAGGCGCCCGGCGGCCGCGCGCTTGGTGCCGACGTCGACCGGCTGCTCTCGGTCTCGCGGCGCCGAGGCGTGCCGCTTCGGTCACGTCACGCGCGCTGCGAGGTGTCTTTTGGCATGTGAGCGCTTGGCATAGACGCCAGGAAGCTCGCCTTCCTTGCCTGCGGCCGCGGGCGTGCGGGCGGGCACGCCAGGCTCGGCGAAGCTCGGCGCGGGTCTTCGAGCTCGCCGCCGGCGGCGAGCCAGCATGGCTCGTCGCTCGACGGGAGCCTGCCCAGCATGCTCTCGGCACTCTGTACAGCCTCGCCAAGCTCTCTGGGAAGGTCTACGGGGCCAGAGCGGCCTGTCTCGGGCGAGATGGCGCGCTGAATGCTACCATGACTACGAGCTCTCGATCGGGTCGACGGCGGCGGGCTTGCGCGGCGCGCTGCTCGACGGCAGGCTGCTCTCCAACCTTTCAACAGTGTCTTTTACCTCGCTCCTCTTGCTGCAACCGCCTTCGGGGGCCGGCGCCGGCCGCCTCGCTTCGCCAGCGCTGCCTACGCCTACGACACGCGCATCGGCTCGCCGCCCGCGTCGCCTGCGGCGGGCCCGCGGGGCGCGACGCTCGTCGGGAGCGTGCTCAGCAGGATGTGCAGCGCAGCCTGACTCACTCAGAGCGCCGCTGATGTGGCGTGGGGCCACCGGCGGGGCTGCTGCCGCGCACGCTGCGCTGTGGACTTCACCATCGTGCCCTCGCCGTGTCGCCGACGCCACTTGCCGCTCGCGGATGCCCTGCCCTGCCCTGACACCGCGCAAACAAACACACACACACACAAACAAACACACACATTATTAATAATCGGGTAATAATTATTAATTATTAATCCTCGGGCGGCGGAGCGGCGCGGCGGCGGGCGACGCGGAGCGGGGCGGCGCGACCATCTGTGCTGACCGGGGCCTCTGGCCTTTGATGCGGCACAATGGTCGCGCCGCCCTCGACTCAAGGGGCTGCCTTCCAGCCGTCGCTGCTCAGGCCGGGCGAGGGGGGGAGACCTCCTGTTCCTCGCGGAACGGGAGCAGGCCCCTCCTTGCCCGGTCTGCGATGCAGGGCGATGGTCGTGCCTTCTTCGCTTCGTACTCGAAACCACGACGCCGCAACCGTCGCCGGCGCGCGACACGTTCCCGTAGGCCGGACTGTCCTCGTCGAGAGTGTGTGCCGCCAAGGCGGGACGCACTCAGGGACGGTGCCGACGGGATGCGGCTCGAAGGGTGTGGCTCCGCAGCGCAGAGCGTCTCGCCGAGCCATGCGTGCCCGCCCGCTCGCCCGCGGCCGCAGGCGTGGAAGCCAACCATCCTGGCGTCTATGGCAAGCGCTCACATGCCAAAAGGCACCTCGCAGCGCGCGAGACGTGACCAAAGCGGCGTCTCGGCGCCGCGAGAGCAGCCGGTCGACGTCGGCTTCAAGCGCGCGGCCGCCTGGCGCCTCCGAACCGACAGGGGCCCCGCGGCAGTAGAGAGCACTCCACCGCCATACCGTTTTTATGGCGGGGTTCTGTGCTGTGGGGCCCGAGAATTCTTTTTATGACCGGCTCTTGCTTGGAGTAGTGAGTGCAGTTTCGCCGACCGACCTCCACGACCTCCCACGCGTCAAATCGGCATCTTGTGTCAAGACCTTGCGAAGGCTCCTGTGCCTATGCAGCCACCGAGCCGACGGTCTCTGCTCTCCACGGCCGCCTGGGCGCCTCTGCTGCCGCTGCTGGCGCCGCTGCCCGCGCCGTCCGCCTCGCCGCCGACAGCCATCGCCTCGCCGCCGTCGTCCATCAAGGCGCGACTGGATTCGCAGAACCCGTCCTTCTTGACGAAGCCGCGCACTTCGGGCCTGCAGGCGCCAGCGGAAGCCAAATACCCCGACTGGCTCGTGGGCGAGTGGAGTGTCGAGCAGACTTTCGCCGGCTACGAGATGCCGCTCAAGGACGTGATCCCGCGCGACGCCCTGATGGCCGAGGGCGACGTGCCCGGCTTCAAGAAGCTGTCCATCGCATCCCTCCCGAATGTCGGGAAGGAGGGCGTGCGGTTCACGATGCGGTGGGCGCGCGACGCCGAGGGCTACGTGCGCGAGGACCGGGCCGCCAACCTGAACAGCGCCATCCGAGGGGGGCTAGGGTATGACGCGATCGAGTACATCGAGTACAAGGCGGACCGCGGCAACCCCGGCTTGCTCGGCTCCAACGCAGGCAACCCCAACAGGGTCAAGCTCGTCTTTGCGCCCGGGCTGACGAAGAATGCCGACCGCATCGAGCTCTTTGTGAACGCGCGCGAGACGGAGGCGCCTCGTGAGGACCTGTTTTACACGACCGAGGCGCTGAAGCAGGTCACGTTCTCGCCCCAGAGGTCGATCAACGGCGAGTACTGCCACTTCATCTCCTATCGGCGCGTCTCCCCGACGCAGGTCGACGTGGTCATGATCACCGCTGCGTACTCGGAGCCGCTGCAGCTGGAGCGCTTTTTCCAGAGGGTGGGCGGGAACCAGCCCCTCATTCTCTTCTCGCACGCACAGCGGATGCGTAAAAAGGAGGGGTGATGCCCAACAACCGTAAGCCACATCTGGACGCGGAGAAAGTACAGTGTAAAGAGTCAATGGGACCCCGTGTTGCATGTCACTGTCATCACTGTGCGATTTCGGGGCCCGGGGTTGTGCGTTTACGTAAAGAGTCAAGCGTAGAGGGTCCACAGCGCCCCAAAATTCCACGAGTGTGGGATTTCGCCGCAATCGCTATTCGCTTGACTCTGAAAAGCTCGCATGTACCTCCTGCGAGCGCGGTGATCGCCGCAGACTGGCTCCGACTTGACGGCAGCATGGAGACGTGATGCCTCCATGCTGCCGTCAAGTCGAAATCGACATGCGAGTCGATCTTTGGCCCGCCAGAGGGATATGCGGCGTTTCGGGCGACAAACAGCGTTGCGACCGCGAAGACCGAAGTGGCGGTGGACATGCTCCCATGTTGCCGACGCGGCGCCGGAGTGGCCGGCGCTGCTCGCCGCGACCACGACGGCTACTCTGATACTCCGGGCCGACCCGTCCTACCCGACGGTGGCACTCTTCCACGTCTCGCTCACGCTGAGAAAATTCTGAAACGGCGTGCAGCAGAGTCACCGACGAGTCGGTCCGCGTGACTCCTCGTGTCCCATACCGTTCTCACACATCCATAAACTCACTTTGGCCTCACTGAAGCGATGCCTCAATCCTGAATCCTCAGATTTTAGATTAGGACGCTGCGGACCCTCTACTTTAGTCAAGGCCTGTGGAGTGTGGTGGCGGCGTGGCGTCCGCCCATCCCTCCTCTGTGTCTGTTTTCTTTTTGTCTTTCATGTGCTTCGTCTTGTCGTGCATGACCGGGTCCTCGGCGACGCGCAGCGCGGCCGTGTTCGCGGCCCCCACACCCACAATGACTATCAATCCAGGCTGCGGGTGAAGGGCAAAACCGCGCCGCTGCAGAACGGTTTTTGCAAAACCGCGCCGCAGCGGTACGAAACTGCGCAGATGCAGTCCAGGGGTGGTAAGGACACTATGTGTGTGTGTGTGGCCGTAGACTAGACGGCTGCGCGGTCGTCGGTCTTCAACACACTTGGCGGCGTTGGCGCCGACGGATGCGCCGAGCGGCATCAGGTGGATGTTGAAACAAGTCCTCCCCGAAGTAGATGGTCTGCCCGGAGGGGTAGTTGAGGCGTGGTGGGCAGAGGTCGAAGCGGACCACGATGTTCTGCGCCTTGCACTCCTTGACGCTGACGAGAGGCATGGCGAGTCCGGGCGCGTACAGCGCGTTCACCCACTCGGTGTTCACAACCTTGGTGTCCTGCGGCTTGGTCGGGTCAGCCAGCGCGAAGGCGTACGCGGTGCCGACGCCCTTCGCCTTGAGGTAGTCGTTGTTTGCGCAGCGGATGTAGATGGGCTTCTCGGGCTCGCGCCACCCGTGAGGGAAGAAGTCGGGCGTCGGGAACATGTTCATGCCCGCCTTGGAGTCGACGCCAGCGGCATACGATCCCGGCATGTTCACACCGGCGGTCGTGTCGTACGCGTCGACGACCTTGACATGCCCGACAAGCGCGTGTGCCTGCATCGCGTCCATGCGCGCCACGTACATGGCGAGCATGATGCACGTGTACGAGAGGACGAGCGGGACCGTCTTGGGCACGTCGATGTTATTCACCGCGCGGAACATGTCGCCCGCGACCTTGCGGTAGATCGGCTGGAGCGGGTCCTCCTCGATGGCGTACTCTGCTCCGCTACCTGAGTCAATCGCCGGCCCGGTGGACAGCTCGAGGGGTAGTGCGGTGACGGACTCGACCATCACGCCCATGTTCGAGGGCTCGTCCACGGCGTCGGCCACAGGCGTGCCGATCGAGGCAGGCGAGCCCATGTAGACCGGGATGAGGCACGCGAGCAGGACGAGTAGGATGGAAGCGCCGATGTACGGGCGAGGCAGCGCGGTGACGAACGAGGTGAACTTGACCCACAGCCCGCCGCGCGCCCGTGCCTCCGCCGCATTGCGCGCCGCCGTCTTGGCCTTGAGGATGGCGGGCGTGTCGGTGGGGTTGGAGTCGGGGAAGGTGTCCTCGACCTGGTCGGTGCCGACGCCAGCGACAAAGCCGCCGACGATGCCGTCCGGGTCGAACGTGCGGGTGACAGAGTCGGCCAGCGCCGCCCGCACCTCCTCGTGGTCGGCCGCGGTGGAGTCCGACTTCTTGGCGAAGGGGTCGTGCGGGAGGGTGCGGCCGGGGGACTTGGCGCACACCTTCTTGTACGAGGACTGGGCCATGCGCACCTTCGCCTCGTGGTCGATGCGGTCGGGGAGTTCCTCGAGCACCTTGGCGACAGGGACCCCCTTGCAGATGAGGTCACCGATGCACTTGCCACCGTGCAACCCACCGCAGTGGGGGCACGGCTTGCGCCCAGCGGCTGCGCGGCCGCCGCGGTCCCCGCCGCCCTTGTCGGACTTGATCTGCTGTTGAAGACCGACGACCGCGCAGCCGTCTAGTCTACGGCCACACACACACACATAGTGTCCTTACCACCCCTGGACTGCATCTGCGCAGTTTCGTACCGCTGCGGCGCGGTTTTGCAAAAACCGTTCTGCAGCGGCGCGGTTTTGCCCTTCACCCGCAGCCTGGATTGATAGTCATTGTGGGTGTGGGGGCCGCGGGCCAGGACTTTTGTTTGAACAAAGTTTTGACAGTACATTTCTGTCGGGCCTTGGAACAGCTTGTGAGTGGTCACTGAAGACCTTCACAGTTGGTAGCGGCGGGGCAACGATCCCCGGGACATTACGACAACATGTCGTCGACGGACAAGCTGGTGATTCCGGCCTACAAACAGAGCTCCGAGCGGGAGTTCAACGAGTGGTTCCGCAACCTGCGGACCGCGGCGAAGCAACACAAGTACCTCCTCGACATCATCGAGGTGGGCACCATCCGGCCGGGCGCGGAGCGCGAGGCCGAGGCGGTCGCGCTGCACGTGCGCTACAAGAACATCGGCACTGCGGACGGCCTCATCCCGGCCATCGACAAGTACTTCGGGGACCTGGCGGTGACTCTGTCGCGCCAACTCTACGGTGCGCTGCAGAACGCCGTCAAGGACGACGACACGCTCGCCGAGATGTTGGCGGACGAGGACGCCGACCACTACGACGACATCAAGAAGGGCATCGCGGCGATCAAGTCGCTCATCGAGTCGGAGGACACGAACTCCAAGAACGTGCGCACGAAGGCGCTGCGCGCGGATCTCGAGAAGGCGTACTCCCCCGACGCTCTCAAGGACCTCACGTCCGCGAGCCTCGCCAAGTTCAAGACGGGCATCGAGCAGGCGAACAAGTTGCTCAAGGACTCCCAGTGGCACCTCCCCGACGAGGTGATCGAGGAATACATCCTCGACGCGATCGCCGCCAAGGGGGCCACGCTCGGCGCAAACATGCGCGTGCAGATCGGCATACAGCGCCAACTCGCCGCGCAATCGGGCAAGACGTACGGCCTCAAGGCGTCCACGCTCGCGATGCAGGGCATCCTCGACCAAGACAACGCGGACCGCGCCAACGAGGCCAAGGCGGCTGCGCAGGCGGCGTTCGAGGCGGAGATTGCCTCGCAAGGCGTGCTCAAGGAGAAGCTCGCGGCCGCCGAGTCCCAGGTCGCCGCTCTCCAGGCGCAGATCAAGTCCGACAAGGGCGGCGGGGACCGCGGCGGCCGCGCAGCCGCTGGGCGCAAGCCGTGCCCCCACTGCAATGGGTTGCACAGTGGCAAGTGCATCGGCGACCTCATCTGCAAGGGGGTCCCTGTCGCCAAGGTGCTCGAGGAACTCCCCGACCGCATCGACCACGAGACGAAGGTGCGCATGGCCCAGTCCTCGTACAAGAAGGTGTGCGCCAAGTCCCCCGGCCGCACCCTCCCGCACGACCCCTTCAAGAAGTCGGACTCCACCGCGACCGACCACGAGGAGGTGCGGGCGGCGCTGGCCGACTCTGTCACCCGCACGTTCGACCCGGACGGCATCGTCGGCGGCTTTGTCGCTGGCGTCGGCACCGACCAGGTCGAGGACACCTTCCCCGACTCCAACCCCACCGACACGCCCGCCATCCTCAAGGCCAAGACGGCGGCGCGCAATGCGGCGGAGGCACGGGCGCGCGGCGGGCTGTGGGTCAAGTTCACCTCGTTCGTCACCGCGCTGCCTCGCCCGTACATCGGCGCTTCCATCCTACTCGTCCTGCTCGCGTGCCTCATCCCGGTCTACATGGGCTCGCCTGCCTCGATCGGCACGCCTGTGGCCGACGCCGTGGACGAGCCCTCGAACATGGGCGTGATGGTCGAGTCCGTCACCGCACTACCCCTCGAGCTGTCCACCGGGCCGGCGACTGGCTCAGGTGGCGGAGCAGAGTACGCCATCGAGGAGGACCCGCTCCAGCCGATCTACCGCAAGGTCGCGGGCGACATGTTCCGCGCGGTGAATGACATCGACGTGCCCAAGACGGTCCCGCTCGTCCTCTCGTACACGTGCATCATGCTCGCCATGTACGTGGCGCGCATGGACGCGATGCAGGCACACGCGCTTGTCGGGCATGTCAAGGTCGTCGACGCGTACGACACGACCGCCGGTGTGAACATGCCGGGATCGTATGCCGCTGGCGTCGACTCCAAGGCGGGCATGAACATGTTCCCGACGCCCGACTACTTCCCTCACGGGTGGCGCGAGCCCGAGAAGCCCATCTACATCCGCTGCGCAAACAACGACTACCTCAAGGCGAAGGGCGTCGGCACCGCGTACGCCTTCGCGCTGGCTGACCCGACCAAGCCGCAGGACACCAAGGTTGTGAACACCGAGTGGGTGAACGCGCTGTACGCGCCCGGACTCGCCATGCCTCTCGTCAGCGTCAAGGAGTGCAAGGCGCAGAACATCGTGGTCCGCTTCGACCTCTGCCCACCACGCTTCAACTACCCCTCCGGGCAGACCATCTACTTCGGGGAGGACTTCAACATCCACCTGATGCCGCTCGGCGCATCCGTCGGCGCCAACGCCGCCAAGGCCATCGTGCGCGG